AATTTTAAGGGTGTTTTGGCCTAACGAAATGTGTTTTGGCCTCATATTGACAAAGAAATTAAGATGTCGTTAGGAACTGTCCAGCTTGTTTAACTTTCTAAAATAGTAATCAGAAAGAAACGATGATGACTCGTGAAATTCCTCACTGACCATGGCACTCAATAGTTGCTGATTTGTTCGAACTTAATAAGAAGAAATATTTGTGAATAGTATACGGGTATTCACGATTTCCAGAAGTATGTTGTTTGAATGATAACACTACGTACGACAATGTAATACATCATGTAAAATATATTTTTTCCATGCATGGTAAACCGGAACTTCTATACACAGGCAATGATGTACAGTTCGTTAATCAATAATGGCCTAATTGAGAGGAACGTTGAAACTGTTAAGTCACTTTTAAAGAAAGCATTGGTTGACAACAAGGATATGTACATTACATTGCTTGAGTATAGAAACACGCCATTAGGTAGACGTCTTCCTTCTCCTGGCGAATTATTGTTCGGAAGACAAGTGAATAGTATGTTGCCAACGAAGCGAGAAATTCTCTTGCCAATGTAAAATTCGAAAAAGTGAATGAAGATGAAAAGCTAAGAGAAAAGCAGTATTATGATAAGAACGTCAAAGATTTAACAGAACTAAAGAAAAAGGATCAAGTTATCGTTTAGTTAACAGAGAAGAGTACTTGGGAACCTGCGATCATTATTGATGTTAACCAAAGTAGACCTAGATCATATGTTGTTAAGTTAGATAGAAATGACCAAATTTATGTGAGAAACGCAATTTTTTGAGGAAATTTGAAGTTAACAGATTTGATAAGAATGACAACGAAAGTTATGATGATCTTATAAACATGTATCTTAAAAATTCATATTCACAAGAATACACACAAACAAATACAGATCAAAACGATACTTATGTCAATACACAGGATGATGTAATCAGTCTTCCTCTGTAATTAATCAACCAGGTACACCAAAAGTAGTCAAACCACAAACACAAGCCGAATATAATCCAATGAATCCGAAGGCAATTGTAGTTATAAGATCAGGTAGACTAGTAAACAAATCAAAGTATTACAAAGATTATGTTAAAGCAATATGTTGTACTTTGAAAGAATATTTGTATAATGTTTTTTTTAATTATATCTTGTGGTATTTGATCACAATTGGAGTGCAGTGATAAAAAGACCAGATTTCAGAAAATGATAATCTTTCAAAAAGGCATTTCCAATCGGAACGTTTACTCGTATATGCGCCCCAACCGCTCTCCTTTGGGATCCCTGCTTCTCTCAGGCGGCTACTTCGTTATCGGCGCATTTCTTCTTACAATCCCTTAAATCTTGTTCAGATCAAGGACGGTTGAGTCTCAGTGTTTTTGCGGTCTTTAATGTCCGTTGTTAAAAACTCGGACAGGAGTTCAACCATCTGCAAATAGAATCTTCAGATTTTTCTAATTGTAATCCTAGGCTCAGCGCAACTCTAGAACGTGTTGGGCGAGCCGCAACAATCCCAGTCTCTCTCCCTCTCTCTCTCTCTTGGCCAGACAGAGTAAGCCATCTGCAGTACTCATACGCAGATGTAGGAACTGTTTGACTGCCACTCTGATTTGACAGTCCGCTTCCCTGAGCATCGACATAGATGGCATGGATAAAACCAATTGATATAGGTAATGTGGCATTATGTAGGTATGAAGTAATGCTAATTTCTGAGTAGGCTTTAAATACGCCTTCTGAAGCCTCGACACTGCTTCCATGAAATTCGATATGGATGCTTTAGATGGGAAGCCGTTCCAGATAGAGTAGTTCACTCCCAGATATGTTAGTGTATGATCATACTGACCAGAGGAATTCTCTCCCCCAACCTTTCCACACATGGGTCCTCAATGAATCAGGATCGTCCAAAGGTTGTAATTTGAAATGATGAACATTTCGCGGTGGACAACGTCATTCCGAGGGCCCCAAGATATTCCACCACAATATCAACCAATTATTGAGCTCCTGGGGCGGCACATTTTGCTAACAGCCCTGATCGTCAGCAAATGCTAACACGGACACATTCCTTTTCAATAGCGTGTATCTCGATATGTTTTCCAGTTTCTCAAGCAGGCACTCCGTGATGAGATTAAAAAGGAGTGAGGACAAGGTATCCTGTTACACTCTACGAATTGGCAACTCAATTCCTTTCGAGGGGTGCTGAATGACGGTGGAACGCCGGCGTATGAATCCATTACCAAATTAGTAAAGACGTCAGGGATCCCTTTCCTGGACAGCGGCCACCGAATCGCCGCAAATGGCGCAAATGTTGTGAGAGCCCTGATTTGGTTGCGAAGTTGACGGTATGACTCACATACAAAGTCTCCTTTAGATTCTTTCGGACCCGGGCACTTAGAATAATGACTCAAAGCTGATAGCTTACCTTTAATTCTTGCTGCATTTGGAGCATAAAAAGATTAGAGGGAGATCGCTATGGATAGTATCGTGACGCCGAACCATGTTATTCAAATCAGTGGCCATGAAGCCACCCCCTCCTTTCTGGGCACAATGTGCGCGGCGACTCGCCTCGAAGGGAATCCCAATCATGAACCGTTCCAAGCTGGGGTCGTCATAAATGGTCTGTTGTCCACGGAGCGCGTCACCATGCACTCCCGCGTCCGAGGCATCGTTCAAAGTGTCCGCTGCCAGTCGTTCTGAGGAGCACAACGGCGTGAACTACAGACCCTCGACCCCCTTCCTCCGTGACGTGGGGTCCCCGAGATGGTTTTTTTGTCAGGGATTTCCTTCTTTTAGCTACATGCTCCCGTTTTAAGGCACCTGAGACTCGCCTATCGCCCATCCCTCTCGGTTGCACCTCAAGTTGCTCCGACATGCATTACCAGGGGCCACCGCGAGAAGGCAAGAGAGTGTTGTCGGCCACGCAACTGCAAACCCATCACAGGCGGCTATTACGGCCACACGGTTGCGATCTCATTACAGTCTTCTCAGTATTTACCAGTGGTGGCTGCGGCAGAGAGGCGCTAGGGACACTGCCTCCTCTTACTGAGATCAGTACTTCTCCTCCTGCATTGTTTAAAATAATATATGTGGGTCTGTAGGTTGTTTTCGAATCGAAGGCCTGTTTACTACTTACGCATACTCCCGCTTGATCCGTAGAATGGTTTTCATTGGCTGCGAACACTCGCCTCTGTGTTGTTACGGAATGTACTGACATAAGAGCGTGTCGCGATATGGCATTCCAGCCCTCGCGACACGCTGCCGCCGGCGAGTGACCCAGTTGTCACTTGCCGACGCCAGCGTTCCGAGGCTCTAAAATGGCGAGGGATTCACACCTCGCCCCTCACTTCACGTATTGCATCCTGCCGGAGCCTGCCGTCGTGTCGCCTCTCGCTCCCAGGACGATGGGTCCAATACGCGGGTGAGTATAATAAACATCTTTTAAAGGTCACTTTCTTTACTTCCTCTCTGCACGAGTTGCTAGGGGTACTCCCTCCCCCCCTCAACTCGCGACAAAATGGCCGCCAAAGAGTGCTCAAATGGCAACGTAAGTTAGGCAAATGGCGTCTTATGGCGGCCGCCGCCCAGCAGCCTCGTTGTAGCAACCTTGCTACCCGGCACTACCTATTGATCGATTTTTAAACTTACAATATTCCTTTCGCTTGACTTACGTTCAGGCCAGTGCTATCTGCTGGTGTTCTATTTAGCTGATCCCCCTTCACAAGCATTCAGTGCAGTAGTGTTCAATCGGCATTAGCTATCCGATCCGTAGACAAACCTTGTGAGTGCTCTGTGTTCCGATCTTTGCGCCCAGTTCACGTCGTACATTCGTGTTGTGAGATTGAAAATGGTTTCCAATTCTGTAAAATGCCTGAAAAATGTCAATCTTGATTATGATGCATGGCTGTGCATGAAGAGAATTGGACCACCTCTAACTGATATGCAAATTACACAATCTGATACAAATGACAATCGTTCTTTTGTACCGAAATTTCACAGGGGTAAATGACCGTCTTAATTTTTCGTAGCATTTTACGTACCTTGTGTTCTCTCTTTGTAAAATGTTTCAAAAATCAGGAAAATTACTCCCAACCACAAGTTGATCGTATTTTACGGGACTATCCGTTTGTGGGTTAGCGTAGTGAAATTTGAGCTGAATGTGCTATATTAAAGCTTGGGACTTGGGCTGTGCCGAAGGACTTTTACCACTTATGGAAGTTAATGTAAGTACGTGTTAGTTAATAGTAACTTGTTGGATGTGTTTCCTGGATCAGTTACACAATTAAAAGTAATCTGTTCAACTCTAATGACAACGGTAGAATCCGAGAGAACTTTCTCCACTTTGAAAAGATTAAAGACATTTTCAACAAATACCGTGTTGGAAGAGAGATTGAATGCACTTTGTATATTATCATTAGAAAGAGTTTTGTTGCGAGACTCAGTTAATTTTAAATAATAACTAATACATAAATTTCCAGAATCTAAAAACAGAGGACTAAATTTAATTTATAGATCCTGTGTTAAGCCTGTCTTCCTGGGAGATAATTCGATTTAAATATTACTTATGTGACTTAATCCAAATATAACAATTTTTCAAATGCCTAACTTTACTTGATCCTGTAACTTTCTGTGCCCTCCCTGTTGTCTAATCCCAGAGCCGCCACTGGTATTTACTGGTGTAGGTTCACTAGCATCGCCTACACCACCGAGACCCTGGGCAACATCGGACCCCCCAAGAGCAAGTAATTTACTACATATTCGAACAGAATTTATTCTCTTTTTCTGTATTACGGCCCCATAATAAGAATTTTTCCGTCGGAAAATCGACGTTTTTTGCCGCATTACTTATATTACTCCGTATATACTTACGTATACGAGAAAGGGGAAAAACACCTTGGTATCAGGGCACCCCAAAATGTGTATTTCCAATGAAATCTCGAAATCGATTTTCTGAAGCATTACATAATATACTCTATACTACGTATTATATTACTCCGCATAATACATAGTAGGCATACGACAAAGTATACTTCATATTTATTGTCATGTAAGACACATCACTATAGGTTTCTTGGATTGTAAGATTTCTACCAGGCAAGGATAGCAATTCAGCCCTGAGCAAAAACGAATAAAAAATACATTACGTTGTCAATATGCATTGATTACAGAGAATAAGTTTGTACATTTTTTGAAGTTTTACTTTTCGAACAAACGCTTTTCAGAGTGAATGTTTGGATTCCACTGACGATACAGAACTGTCTGCGACTTCGTTGCGACATTTTAGTTTTTGTGTTGGTAGAAATGTACCTTGCAGCGAGCTGTCATCGCGTCAAACAGCATTCATTACAGTCAGCTGCAGCAGTGTGAGCAGTGGGGGTGTAAGTGACACAGTTTAGATTCTCGTGCTCGTGGAAGTAAAACAATTGTTTTGTGGTAAGTAGTTAATTGATGTCAATAAGATTATTTCGTATTAAATATATAATTCTTTCAAAGTATACACTTTTCATCTTTAGAAATGAAACAATGAGGAACAAAGTTGATTTACCCGTGGGTGGATTTTTCTAATCAATAGTGCCATGAATAAAGGCACTCTGTAAGCAACAATTCTGTTATTGACGTGTAGTTACTGTGAATATTTTCAATGCATTTTAATCTTGTTTCTCTTAAGTATGTGAATATTGTCTATGTCTATTAATATTATAAAAGCAGATGTTTTGTCAATTGAATTATATTAAAACAGATTGTAATGAAATAAACATTTTGTTCCCCCCTTTGATTAATTTACATGTTCCATGTCTCAATTTTTGTTCCCAGAAGTGTCTGGTCCCAAATCACTGAAGAAAAGAGATTCATCTGCATACAAAATTCACATTTATTAAAGGTACAAAAATGTCTATGTTGACTGGGCCAAAGATTCAAGAAGAAATGAACAACATACCATTAGCTGATGATGATCCTCAGGGTTTGTAAATTTTTTCTTTTTTTGTTTGTTGGTTTTTTGCAATTGCTATGTCATTTTTGTGCTTTTGCTGCAGTTTTATAAAGAACAGATCATTTTGATTTGCAAATACTATTTTTAGGAATGCTAATTGCATGAAGTGCATAATATGAATTCAGTTTAGAGAATTTTAGAAAAAAATATATGAAATGTGCATGGTGCATCTCTAAAAATATTGATTTAATGTCAATGTTTTTCAAAAACGATAGACAGCAACAAATTTTTTTGTTGATGATGAAATTAGTTTAAAATGAATTTTCCTTTTGTAGTTATAATCCAGGATGACACAGAAGCAACAGAAGTCTCCCAGGCTTCAGAAGCTATGATACGTGGTCGAAGCTTAGACTCGATTCCTTCAACATTCACAAATGGGAGTAGCAGCCCTGGACCAAATAGTATGCATGATTATTATAGTCTCCTTGTTATGATAGTATGTTTCTTTAATATTAGACATAGTGACAGATACATTAATCAAAAGGTAGGTACTAATGAATTACCATGAATTTTTTTCTTGATTAGATTGTAATACAGTTTTATTATGTATGATGTTCCATTATAGCAAAGACTTAAAGTTGTCAAATATGCATAATTAATTTCTACAAAATATTTCTAAATCAACTTTTTGTTCTTTAGTAACTAAAAAGTACAGGAAAATGCAAATTTACGAACTTCAGTGTTTTATGGCTGGAAAATATATTTTAGATCAATAAACACAAATTCCTTATTTGCTTCAGGAATATTTTTTTTTTTTAATATGTTCGTGATGTTAAACATATTATTTTATGCTTGGCAATTATATTATTTTCAAGGTTTCCGAGATTTTGATTTGTTTATTTTATCTTGCACTATTCTTGAAATTTTGTAATAAGGCTTAAGGTAATTTTGTTTTAACAGAGGATGACATAATAATTTTACCTTAATAGTTTGCGTAATATTGTAAGCAAAACATGTTCTGTTGTTGCTTGACTTAAGTCTTGAAATACTATCTCTACTGCACTAGTTCACTACTACTACAAAAAATGTTATTTTGCTTTTGTAGTGTAAAATTATCTCTTCAGCCAATTAACCTTACATTTTCTCACATGTGCATATAATCTGGGGAGAGTGGCGGGGTGTATATGTTTGCCATTTACAAAAATATACTATTGTGAGAACCTCTCATACCCAGTTAATAAATTTATTTTAGTGTATTTCATAATTCAAAGAATTTTATTTTTACAAGATTTATTTGCAATCTGTTCTATGTGGGACAGTGAATAAAAAATATTAATGATAAAAATTACATGAAAAGATAGAACTCGTAACAATGACTAAAGAAACCTTGTGTCCAACTTATTAAGGATGGAATATCTACTTCATTTCCCCTTTTGGTATCATTCAATCCTTAGATGACAAGATCGTTGTTTTTGACATTTGTCACTTGAGTTCTTAATTTCATCTTTCATTCTTGTGATTTTAATACCTTTATGGAGGATTCTGTTTGAAACATACCAAGGAGCGTTCATATTTTTTATTCCTTTCTAAATATCCAAAAGTACTTGTGTCACAATGAATAATTTATTGTCTGGATGTAGATTTTTAAAAGCATTTATTAAATATTTAAAATGTTATTGTCATAAATGTTGTGAAAGTTTTAGTAGATGTCTAGAATTAATTACTAATGTATATAGAATAGAACTAGAAAAATATGAAAAGTGGGAACTTGACATAAATTTCTTAGAAAGAAAATATAGGATAGGAAATTGCTGAACTTGTTAACCCATAGAGGTAATACAGTAAAAGTTGCTCAATGTGGAACTTGTATAACGTAGAAATCTGTCCAATGTAATCATAAATCTGCTAAACATAAATTCTACAATATTACTCTGCATAATGCGGAATCATGTCTAATACAGGAAAAAATACAGGTCCCTTGAGGTTCCACATTGAGCAAGTTTTACTGTATTTATAAACTATTTACAACTATCTGAATTTCACTAACAAATAGTGATGAAATTATGATTGTGAAAACAAAGATACTGAAACAAATTGAAGCAAGGAGCAAATTTTTGGTATGGAATATGAACATAGAAACACAATAATTATATTTCCCAAAAGAATACTAGGTGAAGGGTTATGGTATTTACATAGGAAGATATAAGTTATGGACTGTAAATGCGAGGGACAGAAATAGAATTTGAGAATCATAGAATATTGGAAACCTATGCATAGAAACATAGAATAGAATATTGGAAACCTATGCTGACAGATTACATTGAAAGAAATAATTAAAAAATTAAAGAAATAATTAATAATAAAATAATTAAACATAGAAAATCTACCATGAAAATGATGGAAACATAGAAACAATTGTGATATTTGCATTTGAAAAGATTATGAATTGAACGACCGCCAAAGATGATTTGGAAGTATATACCTGAAGAAAGGAGAAGGTGAGTGCAATAAACACAAAGAAGGAGATACAGAGGAATTCCATGGAGGAAGTAAGATCAATGATGGTTGGATATTTAAAGGATGAATTTTGGAAAGATTGAAGGGGGGATCGTGTAGTGAGAAATGACAATACCACCTCTTGTTACTATTACTAATATCTACAACTCCAAGGCCTCATTTTTCTGATGAGGTAGCTTCAGAAGTAGCGATTGTTTTAAAAAATGCCTGGGAGGAGGGGGGATAAATCTAATTAACTGCAAATGTATTTAAATAAAATTTATTTTTAAATGCAGGTAATAAAAATATATAGTAAATCAATGTGGTAATTACTCAAAATTTTATTAACAATTCCCAATATCACTTGCAATTTTGCTTTAAGATGCAGTTTTATTTATTATATTACAGCAAATGCCACTACTAATACAAGTACAATTTACATGCATTATTTTTATTTTATTTTTTTACTACATAATCATGAAAAAGTAAGAAAATTTTGCTTTTTAGTTCCATAACAATGTAAGTAATTGCTTGAGCAATTCTAGACAATATTAGATTACTTAATTTTTTTGGCTTTGAAATTTTGGAATTAAAACATGATACCTATATACTAAATGCAATGAAAACTTTTTGAAGGCAAAACTGATGCATGAAGTCAGCTGTCAGAAATCACCAGGCAGAAGTCAATTTTGTTTGAGAAGGGAGGACTAGAAAAGTGGTATATGCACCGATTTTATTTGTGAAAAACATGGTTATGTGGCGTTATGTATTTTCTATAGAGCTAAATCTAGTTAAGTAATTGTTAAATTAACAAGAGAAATACACTAATTTATCCAAGTTTTTTCTACATGTTCTGCTTTATTTCTGAGTATATATGTATTTCTTGGCTTGAAGCAAAATTTAAATCTTATATTTATCCCTTGTTTTCGAAACAATTAAGTGAATCGAATTTAATGCAGGTTTAGACCCAGACATCAGTCCTGATGAACAAGAGGAAAAGGCTCGCTTGATATCACAAGTCTTGGAATTGCAGAACACTTTAGATGGTGTGTATTATTCATTTATTATAAGAAGTTAAAATTTAATCTTAACATACACGCCAAAATCACTGTATATTTTGAATGTTTTATTGTGTGTTTTAGATCTTTCACAACGTGTTGACAGTGTTAAAGAAGAAAATTTAAAACTTCGTTCAGAAAACCAAGTGCTTGGGCAGTATATAGAAAATTTAATGTCAGCCTCGAGTGTCTTTCAGTCAACATCCCCTAAAACTAAAAAGAAGTGAATTTACTGCTTAAGTATTTGTTAATTTTCAATGTCTCTATTTGCCTTCCAGAGGGTTCATTGCACACATGATTTCTGCATCACAAATCTGGTTGGTAACTGCTTCCTGTTTGATTTTAACATGTGCAGCAGCATGTGCAGTTCTTTTACAACCAATAGTAGCTTATTGGTGTATGCCTTGTGCCTATTTACTGCGGGAAGCACTCTGAATTGTGTTGAATTATTAATATATAATCATCAACTAAGCATTTCACCCTCTGTCAAGAAACATTTGAGAGACAATGATGAAACAATATTATTTGGTCATGACTTGTCGCATTATAAAATATAATATTCTTCTAGAAATTCTCTGTGAAAGTATTGCCAATCATCAGTGTCAAAGTTAATCATTAAAAACAAGTTTTAACAGGCATTACTAATATGCAAAAGTATGTCAGTTACTATTGCACTAGATCTGCAATTGGTCTCTCAGATGAAGGTCTGCAGTTTAATCTAAAATGACTTAAATCATAGATATGTTAAACTGTGTTTATGCCAGCATTGTAACCATTATTTACTTGTTCATTCAGATTAATTCTTTATATGTGTGTTATGTTGAAGATTTTAATTACATGTCCAAAGATGTAATTGAAGCTGTATTTTTAAAAAAATTGCCAAAGACTATTTGTGTATTAGAATAATTTTCAAAATAATTTAAATTAATTATATTGTAGCTAACGTTGCAACTATAATAAATCCAGTTGCATAAATATCTCTTGTTTTGTACAGATAAACCCCATTTTATCAACAGAAAATTGATTTTCCCTTTTGTTTTTATGCCAAAATGGTATGAAGAATGATAATGTCGTATGGTTAAATGAAATTAAGTAACTGATGGTAAAAGTCCTCGTTTTATTGGTCGAAGAGTGATCAAAATACATAAGTGAAATGGTTAACAAGGTATTAAACATATTATGAAAAAAGCGAAACTTCTTTTTATGAGGTAAATGTGCCTGTTGCAACTTCAAACATCCATGAAAATCATAGCCCATTTTTTTTGTTTATTTTGTGTTTGATTATTACACATTTTGAGTTTCCTATTCTTATAGGAATGAATATCTTCGGTTAAAGACATTATCAACTATAATTCTAATTTTCTCTCGTTGCAATGAAGCTTTAGGTATATTGCAATGCCACAAATTAATGTATTTATTTTATTGAATTTTCTTTTGACTTTTCCTCAATATACTGTAATGTAGGAAGGAAAATTATTGCATGTAACAGTATGGTAACTATGAGGATGACACGATATGATGATCATAGGGAGTGAAAGGACGAACACATGACAACTATGCCCAAGGCGGGACCCACGATCCTTCAGTCCGAGTTCGCTACAGCACTGCTGCCTTTTAACGATCTCAGCCATCCGAACCGGCTGTTTAAGGTTCTTGTGAGCTGCAATTTCACTCATCAAGATTAAGGTATACTAGTGCAGTTCCAAAGATAAACATTGGTGGAGATGCACAATTTTGTGCTCCAAAATTGGAATTTCTGTATGGTTTGATGGAAGTATTATTTTCTCAATCAATCACGGACGAGTTCTAGCTACAACACTCTCTCATGGTGACTTACCCAAGCGGCGAGCTTGCAGCTGCGCGTAAGATTCCGCGAGGGTGGTCCTTTACGCGTTTGTAGTAATTATTTCAAGCCGTCGCTGCCGGGATTTCCCTGCGTCGTAATGACTTAAATCCTTGCCAGTTGGTCAAGGGGGGTGAGGGCTGGCGCTTTAACAAATAAGAAGGGGTGCAGTGCCCGGACGGCCCCGTCCGCGGTCCCTAGGGTTGGGATATGTGGGCTGAACCGCCCGAGCTTACATCTGCACACTTGGCTCACAAAGAAAAAGCGTGTTGCCTTAAGTACCGTAATCTTCCAAGAAAATGACGAAACCTAACTCTTATTTTATGTTACATTATTCCCGCAAATAATGTGCCGTCACATTGGCTCCTCTTTCCGAAAAAAGACATCGCGGTTTTAATTTCTACTTTAATTAAGATACGATTTCTCTCGTCAACATGTGTCACATTTCTACCAAATATTACTGAAATAATCAAAATTAAATGAAAAGTAGCAAAGTTCACCCACTCGAATAAACTATGTAACATTTCAGAACTTCTTAAAACTTCCTTATCCTTAGCAAAATATTGAAAATTAAATCTACTGATTCTCATGTCGTAATGTCCCGATGTTCGCAAAGAATGACGTAAGTACCCAGGGTATCGGCGAATTGTGCTCAGAGATACACAGTACTGATTAACTATCTTATGAAAAGCTCTAAATTGTAGAAATAAACTTTCCCTGCTGGATGGTCATTTTCATGTACATTCGGATAGGAATTGCTTCAACAGTAAAAGGACCACTGAACAATGGGAGGAATTTGTGAAACAAGGCAGCAGGCTGGTCACTTACTCTGGGAGTTCTGACTAAAACTTTGACATCTATATTAAATTGGCAAGGGTTTTCGACTAACTCTTCCCTTTTTCTGGCATGTTTTGTTAAGTTTTGAAGCACGATCCTACCCATACTCTCAATTTGGGACAGGCTGGCCTGACTACCTGGCGAGAAGTGGGAGAGCATTTTTAGGTTTCCTTCAGAAATGCGCTTCTTAAGGTTCCATTCCATTGGAATAATGGATTACATTGTTAATCCGCTCATAAATGTGTTTAATTAGTAACGGCCATTTCTGTGGTTTCTCGAAATAAACTCTGAAAAGACGAGAAATTTCCAGCACAATCCGCTTACTACGATTAGATTGCGGATGCCGGACGGAAGAAGACACTATCGACACACCATCTTCCAGCGGTCGCTTCCACATAGTCCCTAAACACTGCGATGCCTGATCACAAAGTATCTTTTGGGAGGTTCCTGCTGTAAACTCTCTAGTCAGTCGTCGTAAGCAATTTTGGTCGTTAGGTCGAGTGATTGGATATAGTTGAGAAATTTAAAGGTGTTGACTGCGACTAGGATGTGTTTGTGGCAGTATTTTCCTGTTGGTAAGTGTCCGTACAAGTCTAAGCTTGGAGTAGTCGGAATTACATGTCACATTGGTCCGTCGTAGTGTCTGTTGTGGAAATTTGGTCCGTTGGCAAGTCACGCATTTCTGACCCTTGTTTACCTAGCCATGTTTTTCCATTAAGCAAAAGTCAATAATACCCTTAGATTTTTTTTTACGAAATGTCCATGCTCCTCATGTAAACGAGTAATTCATCAGTGATTGGTGTGAGTATCCAAATTCTATATTCTGCTGGGTGTTGCTTAGTCCTAAACAGCAGCAAATTCTTAGAAAGTTAAGCCAGTTCAGAATCCTGGTCGAATTTTGCTTACAATGGGTCATTTTCATCTAATTGGTACTTTGCTTTTCCAAGGACGGCATTTTCCTCGTGGAGTCTCTGAATGATCCTTGGTTGCATTGAAGGAATGGGAGTAACTTCTTGGATAATCACATTTACTTAAAAGACAGTGTCATCCTGGATCTTATGATTGGATGCATAAGGCAATCTACTCAAGAAATCTGCGATAAGGTTGTCTCTCCCGAAATTGAATTTCGAAGTCGTATTGCTGTAACCAATGCACCCACATCAATAATCTTGCATTAAGAGCAATGACGTTTCAGAAAAATTAATTATTGTTAAAAATTAAAGCCTTATGATCAGTATTTATGAAAAATTTCCTAACAGCCAGGTACCCTAAAAAAATATTTTTTCATTAAGGGAGAACCTTCTTTATTCTTCTGAAATTGGACAGGTGTAGAACATAATAGATAATGCGATAAAATATGTTTATTATCACGAATTACTAGATTTACATAAAAACTATATTTTAGCTATTCAAAATTCATATGGTCTTAAATCCCCTGTATTACCATCATCTCCACCAAAACTACAAAATAATCCTGTATAATGTTATGCTATTAATATTCAACATATATTGAGTATACACGATATATTGTATGTATTATATGAAGAATGAATTTGGAACATAAATTAAAAAACGAATCAAATTAATCATCCATAACTTTTTTGAGATTAGTTATTGTTTATACCAGCAGATTGTGGAGGAATTACAGCTATTTATCAATGACCATCTGGAGAAATTTTATTTTTATTGAGAATATGTATTACATGATCGATTATTCTAGTCTTAACTTCGTAAGTGAATAGCCAAAAACATTTTCAAGAAATAGGTTTACCATATCAATCAAGAATACATACAATATTGAATTTTAATTGAGGTTAAACATTTATTTTACAATATCTATTATGCAGAATGTACTCCCCCCCCCCCCCCCCCCCAAAAAAAAAATTTAGTATCATATCAAGAGATTTTGCAGGTATACCATCATCAATGGATGAAGCATGTAATTATATGAATGGACAAATATATTTCTTTACACGCCATATTTATTATGAATATAATGAATTTTTTAATACTTTAGTAAAATGAAAGTTGAAAAATTTAATATGTGTCTTTTGAATAACGATTGTAGAAAACAACTCTACAATATCACAAATTACTACAAAATTAAAAAATATTTAAAAAAATAATAGAATGTAAATTATTTTATTCTATATGGAGAATTGTCATCAAATTTATTAAATAAAAATGGAGAGAAACTTAGAAAAAATAGATTATGAATGTGGAGAATCAGTAGTCCAAAGTTATTTATCACGTCATCAGAAGTAGAAGTAGATTAAATAAATTAAAAAAGTGTTTTGTATGTAAAACAGAGAAAGATTACAATGAATTTTATAAAACACCTTTAAAACAAGTGGATTCGATTATGACTAAAGAATGCATGAATGAAAAAGTACGATGTTCTTGTCGATGTATATTGGAAAAATATTTGAAAAATCATATGACTCGAAATATACATGTATTACAATATTTTCTATAAATTTGGTAGTATATTAATATAATTGACTAAATATCTCTCATATGGTGATAGAGCAATTTTTCTAGTGTTTATAGATATTGAATTTCATTTTCACATTATTTTGTTTTCTAATGCCTCCACATGGCTTTTTTAAAAAACTGTTTTAAAGACATTTGTTTTTTTATTTTTATCCTACAAATTCTCAAATTGGTAAACATAATTATTCATCTTTAAATTTTCCTGATATTTCATTGTTTGATGAAGTATATATACCAGAAGAAATCCAGAAGTAGCAAAAGTCCAATATTTTCGGTTATATCATAAATATTATTCATTTCAATACAGATTATAAATGAATCAGTATCAGTTGCCAGAAGTTTAACATGATCTCCGTATTTCTATTTTAGAACATCATAATCAAATTTATACATTAATAATTTTAGTTATTCAACTACTACGAATTTACCATAAATAGGTTTATTTGACACCATTTTGTTTTCTTTTCTATATAATACATTAATTTCATATATATTGTCTTCTGTATTAGATTCGTGATGTTTTTAAAATAATTTTTTAGTTGTATAGAAGTTTTACATCACATCTTTTTCGTACATTTTCCATTTGTTTACTATATCAGCATTATTCATGTCTAAAAAATATTTTTCATAATCACGATAATACCTTCTATAACATATTTTTCGATTTTATAATCAGTAACATAATTTAGTTTCATAACTTTTTTAATTCCCTATTCCTGGATCCTGAATCTTGTTGATAATTCATTGATATTTGGAATATATTGATCAGAACATAATAGAAAATCAAGTTTATCATGTAAATGATCTAGAATGTTTAAATCTACTTCAAAAGTATATCCAATACATCCATCATTAGATAAATTCAAAATATCATTGATTGTAAATATTTTTGTTTCTTTATTAAAGCTTCCAATTGGTAATGGTTGACTTCATGCATTGCGGTATAAATTTTTACTATCTAAACACATGATATAACATTTATATATTATTTTATTTCTTATTATTGCAGATACCAA